GCATGTACCTTTACAAATTAGAGCTCCCTCTGGATATATGCCCAGGATTGGGACTGCTGGATCATATGGTAAATCTATTTTTAGTTTTTTGAGGAATCTCCCTACTGTTCTCCATAATGGCTGCACCAAACTACATTCCCACCAACAGTGTAGGAGGGTTCCCTTTTCTCCACATCCTATCCAGCATTTTTCCTTTGTGGACTTTTTAATGATGGCCATTCTGATTGGTATGAGGTGATACCTCATTGTAGGTTTGATTTGCATTTCTCTGATAATTACCAATATTGAGCATTTTTTCATGCGCCTATTTGGCCATTCGTATGTCTTAATTGAAGAATTGCTTATTTAGGTCTTCTGCCCATTTTTGGTTTGGATTGTTTGTGTTTTTTTGTTATTAAGTTGTATGAGCTGTTTATATATTCTGGGAATTAAGCCCTTGTCAGTCTCCAGCCATCCTTGAATTAACTATGACCATGTGATTAAGCTCTGGCCTAAACTAACTCTGTGTAATTGGAGATGGTGTGCTTAGTTTCTAGAAGTATCTTTTATGTGCTCTTCTCATCTTCCACTGTCTTTCCTGCTGGCTGCAGAAGTTATGGCCGGCACTAAGCAGTCATCTTGGACCATGAGGTAGAAGCTATATGTTGAAGATGAAGAAACTACAGAGAAGGCACCTGGTTTATTTTGTCTATACCTGGGCCCAAATCACACTGTCCTAATTACCAGCTTTAAAATAAATCATGATATCTGCCAGAGCAAATATTCCCATTTTCTGTTTCTCCTTTAACAATATCTTGACCAGTCTTGGTCCTTTTAACTATTGGAATTTTGAATCTGTTTGTCAAATGTGCCAGATATTTGAACATGGCCACAGATGCTTTGGCACTCCTCCTCCTGGGAGGTGTTCTATTTACCTTGCCCTTGAATCTGACTAGTCTTAGGGACTCATGGCAGAAGTAGTGACGTGTGACTTCTGAACCTGGATCAGAAGAAGCCTTTCACCAAGCTTCCACCTTGGTCTCTTGGAAAGCTCACTCTCCAGATACTCTCTCAAGTTATTCCCTCTCTGGACACAGCCAACACACTGTGAGACGTCCAGGTCACATGGACGGGTCACTTGCAGGTGCTATAGTCGACAGCCCTAGCTGAGTTTCCAGCCTCCAGCCAGTAGCGCCAGCATCATGGGAGTGAGCCACCTTAGGCAGCCAGCCTAGTCAAGCCTTCAGGTGCCTCCAGCTCTGCAGCCAACACCTACCTGTGACCGGATAAGAGAGTCTTCTATTTAATCTGTGGATCAGTTTGAAGAAAACTGATACCTTTATAATATTGAGTCTTCTGATCCTTAAACATGGTATATCTTCTGTTTATTTAGATGTTCTTTAATGTCTCTCAGTAGTTTATAGTTTTCTCCCTGAAGTTCTGTGCTAGAGACTTATTGTGCCCACATGTATTCAGTTCTTCTCTTTCTTCCAGACACATGGAGGATTATACTTTCCCCCGTTCCCTTCAACTAGGCAAAGCTATGTGGCTAATTTGGCTAATAGGTTGTGGGTGAAATTGACATATGTCCCGTTTGAGCCAGTGTGTTCACTTGCTGGTGTAAGACTCTCCAGCAGCTCTTTTTCTGCCTTGCTGATAGCGGAGGATGCCTCATATCCAGATGGTAGAGCCACAGGACCAAAGCAACCTGGATTACCAAGTTGCCGTATAGATAAATCATTCAGACACATGGCAGATCTTGAATGTCGGGGGGAGGGTATAGCTCAGTGGTAGAGTACCTGCCTGGTATGCACAAGATCCTGGTTTCAATCCCCAGTATCCCCATTAAAAATAAATAAATAAATAAACCTAATTACAGCCCCCCCAAAAAAACAAACAAAAAAAAGAGAGTGAGAAGTCAACTTTTTTTGTGTGTTAAGGTACTGATAAGTGGTTGACTAATAGAACATTTTATATATATTTGGATAGATTTATTCCTAGATACAATTTTGATGGTAAGTAGATAATATCTTTTTATTAATTTTTATTAATATTTTCTGTTTACTCCTGAATTCCATATTTCTATATATTATTTCCTTTATTCTGTTTTATATTTTATGTTGTATTCTAATAGAATATATTTTTGGCATATTAATTTTATACGTAGCAAGCTTCCTAAACTTTCTTGTTGATTTTAATAATTTATCTGTAAATGCTTTTGGAGTTTTACATCTATATTCATGGATGAAATTGGCCTATAATTTTCACTTTTTAGCACCCTTGTCAAATTTTGATAGCATAAAATAATAACTCGTAAAATAGCCTCATATAGTTGAGAAGTGTTCTCTTCCTTTTCTGGAAGAGTTTGTGAGGGAATTGTGATTATTTGGTCCTTAATGTTTGTTACATCTTTCTAGTGATGTCAACTAGGCTGTAGCTTTCTTGTTGGGAATATTTTTGGCTACTAATTCAATATTTTTCATGGTAATAGGACTATTCATTATTTTCTTTTTCTTTTTAAGTCAGTTTTGATAAGTTATATTTTCCTAGGAATTGTCCATTTCATCCAAATTTTTTAATATATTGGCATAAAGTTGTTCATAATATCTTCTTTATGAAGGTGACATGTATAGTTAAGTCTCAATTTTTATTGTCATATCAGTAATTTGTGCCTCCTCTTTTTATTTTCTTTAGCAATTTCACCAAAATGTGACAATTTTATTAGTCTTTCCAAGGAACTTTTGATCTTCTCTGTTGCTTGTTTTCTAATTGATTGGTTTCCACTCCTGTCTTTTAAAATGTATTTTCTTCTGCCTCTTTTGGTTTATTTTGCTGTTATTTTTGTAATTTTTTGAGTTATAAATATAGATAATCAATTTTCATCCTTTCTTTTCTTCGAAAATCACCATTTAAGACTTTAAATTCCTGGTAATCACTGATTTAGTTGTTCCATTTTTATATCCTCTTTGACCAGTGAATTATTTTTAAGTATATTTAACTGTTAAACAAATGGAGATTACATTTTTGCTACTGGTTTCTGGCACTATGGTGATACAAAATTTAAAAATATTTATATTAATTGAGATTTGCTTTATGGTTCAGTCTGGTTAAATTTTGCAAAATAGTTCATGTACACTTGAAAAGAATGTGTAGTTTGAAGTTGCTGGGGGCAATAACACATTGAAAATATCTCAGAGGTTTCTGGTTTTCATTGTGCTGTTATGAGTTCAGTTTGTTTCCCTTAAAGCTTGTGTTCTTCTCTTGCTGTCTTCAAAATCTTCTCTTTGTCTTTGGTGTTCTAAAGATTTTTCTTAAATGTAGGTATGGATTTCTTATTGTTTACTTTTCTTTGGATTTTTATTTATCCTGCTTTTTGCACTTGTTGTCTTTTATCAGTTCTGGAAAATTCTCTTCAAGTACTGCTGCTGTCTCATTGTTTCTTTCCTCTCTTTCTGGAACTCCATTCAAACATGTGTTAACTTGATCGTTCTATTACACAGGTCTCTTAACATCTCCTTAAGCTTTTTGGCTCTTTTTTTCTCTGTGTGAGGTAATTTCTTTTGAGCTGTCATTCAGTTTACTAATTCTGTCTTTGGTTGTGTCTAATCTGCTGTTAAATTGTCCATTTAATTATTTTAAAGTTCTGTGCTTTCATACTTTGTGAAATGTGGTAACGTTGTTATCATAGGCTGAACAATAACCACCCCTCCTCCAAAGATGTCCACATTCTAATCCCCAAAACCTGTGACTATGTTACCTTACATAGCAAAGGGACTTTACAGATAAGATTAAATTAAGGATTTATAGACTAGGAGATTATCCTGGATTATCTTGCTAATAGTCTTTTTTCCTTATGTGTTTATTTAGTTAGTTTTTTTTTTTTTTTAACTGTGAACTATCTATTTTCCCTGGAAAATTTTGTTGGAAGTTCCTTGACGCTGAGGATGAAGATGTCTTCTTTCAAGGAATGTGAGTTTGCTTCCGCCTGGCACTTAGAGGTACTACCAATTCCACTTTAAATGGAATTCTTGACTTGGAGGGTTTTTTTGATTACCCAAGATAATGTAAACTTGGGCTGCAGATCAGCTGAAGGATGAGCTAGTGGATAGAGGAGATAGAGCCTTTTCATCAGTTTAGTCCTGAGGAGGCTTTCCTTAAAGTCTTCTGGAGGTGACAGTAGGGTGAATTTATTTGGGGTTCAATCTTACATTCAGGGCATACCCTTTGGGTTCATAGCTTTTTAAAGAAATCTATGAAATTCCTCACGTTCATTCTGACAGAGAGAAAAGCTATGGAAATTGAAGCTCAAGGTTGCCAAATTCAATAGCTGTCCTCAGACTAAAGCATCT